GCGGCAGAGAGGAAACGCACAGCGAACATCGTCTTAAATGAATAGAGAGTAATTTGCCGAATAGCGGAGGGTATGTTCATCCACTTATCTTGCTTCCGTCTGATAATTCGACAAATGCACTTGTTGATTTTCAATTGAATGAAACAAACTTTGTTATGTGGAATCGAGCAATTCGACAAGCATTAGCTACTAAGAATAAGCTAGGGTTCATCGCTGGTAGTTATCCAAAACCTAGGGTTTCAGGCTTTGAACAAGAGCAGTGGATTCATGTGGATGAGGCTGTTGTATCTTGAATTCTCAATGTGATTTCCCCTGCCTTAGTTGAGAATTATAGCTTGGTTGAGTCCGCTAAGGATCTCTGGGATGAGTTGAAAAAAAGGCATGGTACTCGGAATGGACCACAGGTTTACAGATTGAGGAGAGAGATATGCACAGTTGCTCAAGAAAATACATCTATTGCTGCCTATTATTCAAGATTAAAGCAAATTTGGGACGAATTGCGGTATATTGATCCAGTGGAGGAGTGCAATTGTGGAGGTTGTACTTGTCTGTTCAAGAGAGAAAGCATAAAGGATACGAAGACCAAGCTATATCAGTTCCTGACAGGTCTCGATGACACTTACTCAGATGTCAGAAATCACATTTTACTGATGGAACCACTGCCTAATGCAAAGAAAGCGTATGGAATGATGCTAACAGTTGAAGAACAAAATGGAGTAAATGTGACTTATGGTACTGTTGTAGACCAAAGTGCTATGTATAGCAATCAGCTTAATCAATCCTTCAACCAGCAGAATGTACAATCAGCAGTGAATCTACAATCATCTCAGGGAGATCAGGTTGCTATGTTCTCACAGAAGGGAAAATTCAACAAAGGATCCAGGGAGAATGATTTTAGAAGAGACAAGGCATACAAGAAGCATCTGAAGTGTGACCACTGTAAGATGCCTGGACATTTGAAGGAAGGCTATTTTAAGTTGATTGGCTACCCTGAGTGGTGGAATGACGATCACAAGGAAGGGGAAATCAACACAGTGTGGCAAAGGAGGAGGTTTCTCTGCAAACTTGGTGGATACTCATTCAGAATCCAGGGCTGACTCTGATGGATCCTCTCACAATTAGCTTCAACAGATGATGAATAACACCAGCATACTTCAGCAAAAATGGGAAAGCTTCTCAAAGGAAAGCAAGCAGATGACAATCGCCATCAAGTCAATTTTGCTCATTACCATGACTTTGCAGGTATGAGCACTTTTGAAACCTTGAAAGGATTTTCAGCATCAGACTTGTTGTTTCTGACTCTATGGTTTATTGATACCGGTGCCACTGGTCATATGAGTGCTCTTTTAAAACTATTTTACACATATAAATCAGTCACAAAATACTCACTTGTTTGTCTACCTGATGGTAGTCTTAAATCAGTTCAGCACATGCACTTAAAATTGTCTGAAAATTTCCACATTGATGATGTTTTGCATATACCAACCTTTAAATACAACCTTCTCTCAGTCAGTAAACTAGCCAATTCTTCACACATAGATTGCTTGTTTTTAACAAACTTTTCTTTGTTATAGGACCAAGCGACTAAAAGGATTGTGGCTGTTGGAAGGCTAATGAACAAACTATATATGCTAGATCACAGATCATTTGCTACTGAGACTATCGTGCAGTTTATAGATTTACATATAAATCATCCATTTGTGAAGTATGCTAGTTATAGTCATGTTCATTTTTCTCATTTTTTAGTCATGTTGACACTGTTGTTTGGCACCATAGACTTGGTCACGTTCCAGATTCAATAATGCATCATTTAGGATTTCCCATGATGTAAAATATCCAAAACTTGTAATATTTGCCCTTTATCTAAGCAACAAAGATTGCAGTTTCCTACCAGTCATATTCAATCCAATGCTTGTTTTGATCTCATTCATATTGACATATGGGGACCGCATTCATGCAAATCTTTGAGTGGTGCACAGTATTTCCTTACCATAGTGGATGAATATAGTCGATCCACGTGGACTTTCCTCATGCATCACAAATCTCAGAGTGTTTCCATTTTAGAAAATTTTCTGAAAATGATACAAACTCAGTTTAACAAACCTGTGAAGTGTATTCGTTTTGAGAATGGGACTGAGTTTCTTAGTCACAAATGTCAAAGTCTGTTGTCTCAGTTAGGCATCCTCCATCAAAGGTCTTGTCCATACACTCCGTAGCAAAACGGAGTGGTAGAAAGGAAACACAAACATTTGTTAGAAATTTCCAGATCCTTAATGTTTCAGTCAGGATTACCAAAATCTTTTTGGGGTGATGCTTTACTTATAGCCACATATATAATCAACAGACTTCCTTCCTCAGTCCCTCAGTTCATTAGCCCCTATGAGATTCTTTTTGCTAAACCACCAGATATATCTCACCTTCGAGTTTTTGGCAGCTTATGCTATGCCACAAACACTTTACCATCCAAAGGAAAGTTTGATCCTAGAGCTATACAGGCTGTTTTTATTGGATATCCCCCCGGTCAGAAGGCCTACAAACTATATTCCTTAAAAAACAAAAAGGTCTTTGTTTCTAGAGATGTGGTATTCCATGAAAGCACGTTTTCATATCTTTCTCGCTCAACAGAATTTCCAGCTTCCTTATCTCAACCCTTGACACATCAGCTTCATACATTTCACACAGATCGGTGGAATGTCACTCAGAATTCCAATCATACAAATAGTCAGACATTTTATCATGATTCTTTGCATGATCATGGTGATCAATCAAATTCACAGAGTGATCATAATGATCAATCAAGTCCACAAAATCTTCATCAAGATCACTTAAATGATCCTGATGATCAAATCTCTACTCAGAATCTGCATCAGAATCACTTCAATGAGCCTGATGTTTCCATAGAAACTCAACATTCACACTCTCCATTGTCAGTCGTGTTGCCAATTAGCACACAACTTTCTCACCTCAACTCTTCTGATAATAGTACAGTTCCGAATTCTGTTTCACCATCTTCTCATTCCATATGGATGAATGATTATGTGCCTAATCAGCATGGTTTGTTCATAATCATAATGCTTTTCATAATCAGTCACAGTCACACACAGTCGCTTCATCTCCATATACACCACCAACATATCCATATTATTCCTTACCAACTCAGTTTTCTAGCACTCACATGGCCTTTATGGTAGCATTAGATTGTGTCCAGGAACCTCAGTCTTATTTGCAGGCAAGTTCAGACCCGAGATGGGTAGAAGCAATGCAGAGAGAGATCGATGCTCTAGAATCTAATCACACCTGGACAGTGACTGCTTTGCCAAAAGGGAAGAAAGCAATCGGCAGCAAGTGGGTGTACAAAGTCAAAGTACACTTAGATGGTCAAGTTGAGAGGTTGAAAGCCAGGCTTGTGGCCAAAGGGTACAATCAGGTGGAAGGGGAAGACTACTACGAGAGTTTCTCACCTGTTGCAAGGATTGTTACAGTCAGGTTGTTGTTAGCAGTTGCCACAGGTTATAACTGGCCAATTCAGCAGTTGGATATCAACAATGCGTTCTTGCATGGATATCTAGAGGAGGAAGTGTATATGATTCCCCCTGAAGGATACAGCAAGGCAAATAAGAATCAGGTATGCAAGCTGAACAGATCATTGTATGGGCTCAAGCAGGCATCTAGATAGTGGAACAAGGAGTTATGTGCAAAACTTCATGTTTTCAGCTTCAAACAGTCCCATCATGATCCATGTCTCTTCCTGAAGGACGCTGACAACATTTTCTTGGCATTATTGGTGTATGTAGATGATATCCTTATCACAGGATCAAATGATCATGCCATCAAACAAGTGAAGCAATATCTTGAAGATCAATTTTCAATCAAAGATCTAGGTCATGCCAAGTATTTCGTGGGTATTGAATTAACTAGATCAAAGGAAGGCCTCTACTTGAATCAGAGGAAGTATGTGCTTGACATACTCAAAACAACAGGGTCACTTGGGTGTAAACCAACAACCACACATTTGCCCAAAGGTCATCAGTTCTCAGATAAACTAGGGTCTCCAATCACTGATTCTTCCAGGTGTAGAAGAATAGTAGGGCAGTTGCAGTATCTGTCTTTCACAAAGCCAGACATTACTTTCTCAGTGCAACAACTTAGAAGACATGTTCAGTCTCCATGTGAGGATCATTGGAATGCATTAATTCATGTTCTGAAGTACCTAAAAGGTTCACCAGGACACAGCCTCTTCTATCCTTCAAATAACAATTTTCAGTTAGAAGCCTATAGTGATGCAGGCTGGGGATCAAATCCTGTAGAGAGGAGGTCAATCAGTGGATACTATGTGTTTTTGGGTCCTTCATTGATCTCCTGGAAGACCAAACAGCAACCAACAATGTCCTGTTCATCTGCTAAAGCAGAATAAAGGAGTTTAAGTGTTACAACTAGGGAACTGTTGTGGTTATCTTACCTATTACATGACTTCAAGATTCAGCTTCAGCTTCCATTATCTCTCTGGTGTGATAACAAGGCAACCATATGCATTACGGAGAATCTGATCTTTCATGAAAAGACCAAACACCTTGAGATTGATTGCCATTTTGTTAGGCATCAATATGATCAAGGCTTTCTGGTTCCTCTGCATGTTTCTTCTCAGGAGCAAACTGTAGATATTTTTACCAAGTCCTTACCTTTTCCTGCATTCTCCAAGTTATTGAGCAAGCTTGGAGTGAAGACCATGCTTCCCGGTCCAACTTGTGGAGGGGATGTAGAGAATGCAGTACAATACGGGATAGATGGTCATGGTTGACTTTGTGAAGTAGCAGTCAACTTTGTACACATCAGATTAGTTGTGTAAACATCAAGGGCCTATTCTGTAAATATTAGATCTGTATAAGTTAAGTACATATGTAATTATGGTTAGTTTTAGTCAGTTAACTATCAGGTTACTTGGTATATAAATAGATTCACTGTACAGACGGATTTCTTGAGTTGTTTTGTTTAATCAAAATTCATTTTCCAGAAACTGCTTCAAACTTACAGAATCTCCTCCGTTGATTGCTTGTTTTTTCCTTATTCCTGACCTAAATACCAAATCAAGAAAAAGGGTATCATCATCAAAATATTACAACTATTCATACAATTATGTCAACCAATTATACATATTTAGTGCTGGACATATACGAAAGGTTAACATATACGAAAGGTTACCTTGTCTTGCTTGGTTGCTTCCTTCTTCTTTTCCAATCTCATTTTTAGTGCTGGACAACACTCTGGTTTGTGTCCCCTGTGTTTGCAGTATTGACATTGACTGTTCGGGAGTCCTTTCCTGCCTCTTTCCTTTTGCTTACCCATCTGTCAATTATAAAGCCATTCAAACCAACACAATCGAGAACTCATAACCTTTTAAGAACATATGCAAATACAAAAGCTTACATCATCAGGCAAAGGTTCAACTGCAACCCGTTTGTGCAGTCTGCCCCATTGTTTGGGTGCTGCTCGCTTCTGCCCACCTGAGGGTCTTTCACTCTCCTTGCCATCATTCTGCGTAAACATTCCAAACTTTCAATTATTATCGCAAATAATAGTACATAAACACACAACACAGTAAAAAAAATACACTTCCACATGATAATTACCTTTTTCAAATCTGGGCAGCTTTTCCTAGTATGCCCCCTAACCTGACAATAACCGCACGTACTCTGTCCCGAGCCCACCTTTCCACTGGCCTTATACCAACCTTTTTTGTTCTTGTATACTCGGTGGAGTTCATCGTGTCTCTTGTTCCTGCTGCCCTTCACTCTTCATGGAATGGGTTTAAACTCTGGAGGCAACAGGGGTGTGTCTGTTATTCGCTTCCAAAAACTAGGACCATTCATCCCCCGGATACTATATGCATATGCTCTCCCGTACATCTCCTTTGAGTACCATCAATCAACATAATCTTTCACCTTTCTCCCGTCATGAAGAATGCACCTAATTGCATGTGGGCATGGAATACCAGACAAATCCCACTTCCGGGAAGCACAACTCAGCTCTCCCTTTCTAAGGCACACAACAAACTGTTCATTTGGCCTCTTGACCTCATACTCACCATTATCGCTCTTCCCGGGATTCCGCTAAACGTTCCCGGATTTTGTCACCAAATTCAAATGGTGATTTTTCAATCAGCTCCCTAGTTCGGTATTTAACCATCAAGTATCGTCTCAACCACTCCAACAACCCAAGGATTGGTAGTTTACGGGCTTTTACACTAACACTGTTGAAGCCTTCACATATGTTGTTCACCAACATGTCACACTTTGTCTCAGTCAAGAAATGTGACCTGCACCAGTGACTCGCTCCTATTTCATGAAGATACCTCCATGCTCCTTCATGCTTCTTCTTCAAATCATCCATCAGCTTGTTCCATTCCTCTTCAGTTGTTGCTTTCACAATATTCGTCAATCTGGCTTTCAATTTCAATCCGGGGTGCTTAAGCATGAAATTTTTCCATAAGTGCTCCACACAGTATCTGTGGGACACATTTTTTAGAAGTGTAGCAACACCTGGAAGAAGACCCTGAAAAAATAATTCATGTCAAATTACTTAACATCCACACCAAATTTCAGTATCATGAATGCAAATGCTTTACACTCATTTACATTCTCAATGGATATGCCTGTTATTAAACATAAATTTAATATTTACTCTTGTACCTTTTGCCGGTCTGACATGATGACCCATTCAGGCGTATCAGTTATTCCCAAGTCATCAATGAGGTATTCCAAAAACCACTTCCACTAATCTTCTGTCCCTATCTCAACAACAGCAAATGCTACAGGATATATCTGGTTATTAGCATCGTATCCCACAGCCGTAAAGAGCTAGCCCCAGTTGGAGTCTTCAAGAAGGTCCCATCTACACCAATGAATTTCCTACATCCTTCTTTGAAACCCTTTTTAGAGGCTGCTAAACATATGTACATTCTCTGGAACCTACGAGGATCGTTTTCCTTAGTCATAAGCTTAATTGTGCTACCTAGGTTTGTCTTTTCCACTTCGGCCAAATACGATTCCAAATATGCATAATTCTCCATAATAGTACCTCTGTTTATGTCAAGTGCCTTCTTCTTAGCCCTAGAGGCCTGGCTTCTTGAAATCTTCAATCCATGGTCCTTCTTAACCCTATGTTTAATGAAGCGAGGACTGAGGGTAGGCTCAACTGCCACATCTTCAAGGTACTACTCAGCAATCAAATAGGCAGTACAGTTCCTTGTTTTATCTAGTCTTGGACAAGTGTGTTTGTCTTGGTGAGTCCTAATCTGAAACGTCTCTTCATTTGGACTCACCTTAACTGCATACAGTACCCAGTTGTATCCCTCCCCTTTGCAAATTGCCCTAACATACTTGGAGTCATGCTTTTTGAAGCTTATATGTCGCCTATCAGCAACTGAATGGAGCTTGATATATTTAACAAGTTGCCACTTATCCTCAAAGTCCTGCCATACCTCAAACCCTGGATATCTCATATCATCTGCAGGTACATACCTTATTCCCTTCTTCAAATTCTTTCCACCTCTACTTGGATCCTGTGCAAATGATTCCTCAGATACATTTCTGGACCTTAACGATTCAAATGAGCTACAATCAGCCTCATGGTCATAGCCTTTGACCTCATCCAGCTTTGGGTCCTTTCCAAACAAACACCACGATTGAACACGGACTGCTGCATCAGCTTTTTCCCAGTACTCAAGATCCATGTCGCCCGTGTCATGATCGCTGTCTTCGCCACGATCTCGATCGACATAATCATAATCCACTTCAACCCCATTTTTTCCAACTCCACTATAATCAGATTCAGAATCACCAGAATCAGACCCAGAAGCAGAATCACCATCACAATCATCCAAATATTCACTGGCATCATCGCCATGATCCAGATCCCCAATATCATACTCATCATGTCCACTATCATCAGCAAAATCACCCTGTTCCTTGATGCCCTTTGAACACTGCCCAATTAAAGGATCATGGTCTCCTAGGCCAATCCTGTATACATCTATCCCCCGCAGTCTCTGAATAGTACTGTCCCCCAACATTTCCTTAACATCCTCATATCTAAGTAAATGCTTATATCCAGAATGTTCAGCTCTGTTTCTATCCTTATAAAACAATCTGTGGGGTCCGTTACTACAAACCTCTATCAATACATGACCTCAGAACCTCCACGGTAATATTAGGTTCATCTATGAAGTCAAAGTAATCAACTCTGCCACCAACATACTTCAACTCTGAAGTCATCTGAAAACTTCCCCGATGGTGGATTTTTGCAGTTATTTGCTTCGCCTCATCACCTATTAATCGACATTACTACATTCAGTTCATCAAAATCCAATATACACAGTAACTATAAATTAGATTTACAGCCTTTCATAATGCAACTAAATCAAATAACATAACAATGTGTAAAAAATACAGATCTATGCATCAATCTACTAAAAGAAGCAAAAATCATTAACTGGTTCGAAGTATATCAATCGAAAAAAAACTTACGGTATAGTGGGATATCTGAGGCTTCAGGGTTCATATGGTAGACCCATTTAAGATTAAGATCCACACCCCGCAAGAAACCCAACATTATTGAGTCTAAATTGATTCACGAACTGAAAGAGTTGATGGATTTCCTTCACTTCATCTGGAACTCAAGTTTCTGCTGGCAACCCTCGTTTGTCGATACGGTCGAAGTTCTCCTCTCTCCTCTTTGAGTCAAAGACAAGTTTCAACCGAGTTGAACCAAGTCAACTACTACATGTGTTTTAATATACTCGTTTGTCTACATGCAACATCCCTCACCGTTCGTTCCCAAAAAAATAGAGATAGACAATAATAAGAAAAAGACAATTTTACCCCTCCATGTGCATACTACTTCCGTTACGGTTTCTTCTGACACAAAGACGGAAAGTACGAAAAAAGCACTTTCCTTATCATTTGGGGTACACTTGTTATGTTTTTAAAAAATGGGGTACAACTGGGACGGGTCGAATATCAATGGGGTTTTCCGTGAAATGAAACCATAACTTTAGATAAATTCTTTAATTGTCAGACATATAATGTACCAAATTTACTTATCGAACGCATCATTTAATTTTGAATAAAAATTTCATTCCATATATCTAACTACGAACAATAACTACAATCAACGTATCATAACCTGTTGAAAAACAAAAGTACAATCTATTAGGAATTATTTACACACACTTCAAAATTGGTTGATTAAGCTAAAGTGACTAACCCTTAGGAATGATCCCCGCTTATTAAATGAAATACTAAAACTATAACAGAATTGAATAAATCGAATGAAGTGCCATAGGTGTACTGATTAATTTACACTACTTGTTCCAAAAAATAAATTGTTTGGAGAAGAAAGTTGATACTCTCTGTTTTTAAATTATTGTTCAGTTTCAGACTTCACTTTTAATGTAATTTGCACTGAAAACGAAAATTTAAATAGGACAGTCATTTCTGGACGGAGTGAGGGAGTAGGTCATACCCCATTAGTAAATATTTTTGATTGGTCTGACTGACTTGGTAACATAAAAAAATGCAAACCAACTCAGACGTCAGGTAAAAAGAACAAGTTAAAACATGAAATCAATTCCAAGTACTTAACCACGTTGGGCTTCACAAAAGTAAGTATAGAACAACAAAAAAAAACATTTATACTCCCCAGACATGTTTATGAAAGGTTCACAAATTTCAGTCTGTGAAACTTGCATCAGAAAATAGAATTGAACACCTCCAACAAATTAAACAAAATGGGGAAATCCGGTTGCACTAGTGATGGCTCTGTGGATGTCTCCAAATTCAATGAGCCAATGCCGCGGGTTGGTTTGTACATTGCCGGAGCATCTGCAGCTTGCGCAATCGGCATGGCAGTCGACGCGATTCACGGCATACGCTACCGAAAGTTTTGGTTTCCAAGCAAGTTCTTCACCCTGAATGCCACAACTCTGACTCTTGTAGCAGTGGCCACAAAATTGTCCGTCGATTTGAACACGTCGATGCCAAGGCCGCAGGATCAGCTCCCGAAACTCAGCAGCACGGTGTTGGTTTGCACCATGATGGCGAGTTTCAAGTCGTCTTTAGGTACTACAACGGACAACAATGAGCTCTTGGCCAACTTGGTGGCACTGGGGATATTCGTCGTCACTGTTATGGTAAACATCTGTATCGAATTAGGTACGGGAGTAATTTATATTTTTTGTAGGGAATATGCTGTGATTCTTGTTGTCATGTTCACTATGCTTGCTCTTAAGATCTCTTCAGCTCTGACAATTCCTCCCACCAAGAAATTCTTCGAGATAAAGAGTAAGGAAAAGCTTCAATTAGCAAAGAATGAATGCAATGATGAAATGAATCAAAACTCTAATAATGCCAGTCGAGAAGTATGTGATAAGCTGAAGAAAGATTTGACGAAATACTGGATGATGGCACACACTTGTGACACGCAATTCGTGTTAGCAAGATTAACAACTTGTAGTGCCTCGGGGGCGTTTTGTCTCATCAGCACAAGCACATTAACAGAGGCCGCGATTCGCTGTTACTTCTTTCCTCGGCAGTTTAAATTTTGTGGTGGCGAGTCCTATTATAATTGGTCGATCATGCCGATTCTGATTACTCAATCTATGGCAATTGGAATGGGTACATTGGCTCCAGCTTCCAGATACTTTGCGACCATCAATTTTGTTGATGATCAAAGGCCTGTTAGAACAAGAAGAGAACCTGCCAAGTTAAAGGATGCCATTAGATATTAAATTATTGATCTATAAGCCAATAGTTAGATCCTTGGAATATTCTGTTTGGGAGAACCGTTAACTGTAAACGGATACGTTAGCCTTTCTTTGTTGGTGTTATTTATTGAGAAGACTGGAATAGAAAGGACAGAAAAGAATTTGCTAATTAATTTTGTTGTCTTAGTTATCTTTACTTTTGCTCTGTCTTTACTGTTTATCTTCTTCGTTTTATAGTCTCTGAAACCCTATCCCCCATCATTTGGTGCTTTCTTTGACTCCTACTCCACCATGGTAGACGGCAAACACAATACCAGATCTAAAGCAACAGAGGAGCAGCAAGATGCTCTTGTTTTTCCGGATCTTAAACAGCTGCAAGAACAAGTCTCCACCTACTCCATCGATCTGCAATCCATCAAATCCACGTTGGCGGAGTTACTGGCGCGTACACCGCCGCCGCAGCCACCACAAAACCCTATCCAGTCTAATCCGCACTCCCCCCAGCTCTCACCGCAGCAGATTTCACCATTACCACACACCCACCCTCCTCCTTTTACTCCATCAAGGCCTCGACTGCTCTTTTTGGCGGGGGCCTTCCCATTATCTTCCGTCACCTCACCCCACCCCAGATCCAACGGCCTTTCACTCTCCCAAATTACCCATACTAGAAATACCTCTTTTCACCGAGGACAACCCTAGAGGGTGGCTCTTCCAAATTAACCATTTTTTTACCTTCCATTCTACACCACCGGATCAGAATAGTAGCTTTTTTTACCTCCAAATAGTAGCTTTTTACATGTTTGGTCCGGCTCTGCAGTGGTTCCATTGGCTATATACCACCAACCAATTGTCGACCTGGGACACTTTTACCCAACAATTGGAGCTCCGATTTGGCCCATTTCAGTGTGTCAACCACGAAGCCCAGCTTTACAAACTCAAACAAACCTCCACCCTTTCTCACTATCTTGGTCGGTTTGAGTCAATCTCTACACTCACCTCAGGTCTGAGCACCGACAACTTTCTGAATTGCTTCATATCGGGTCTAAGGGATGATATCCAGCGAGAACTTTCAATTGTCAATCCCACCTCCCTCCAGCAAGCCATGGGTATGGAAAAATTGATTGAAGACAAATGCAACGCGGGTCGGGTTTTTTCACCCCACCCGTTAGCCTCCAAACCCTATTCCCCACAACCGCCTTCCCCACCACCCTCCTCTCCCACCAACTCTAAATCTTTCAACCCCCAAAATCTCTCCATCAAAAGGTTAATAGTGGCAGAAATGGCGGCCCGCAGGGCTAAGGGACTCTCTTATAACTGCGATAAAATCTTTTCTCCGGGTCATCGTTGTAAATTGGCCTTATTCCTTTGTTTTCTCGCAGACAGTGAAGATGATCCCCCGGAATCCCCCGCGACAGAAGGCTCTATTACTCCCCCTCTCCCCCGAAGATCCCATCGGATCCGGAGCCCCAGATCTCATTCTATGTGTTGACAGGCCAGTTTGTTCCGTCAACGCTCAAATTGTCGGGCTCTATACAAGGCAAGGAGATTGTGGTGTTGATTGATGGTGGATCCACCCATAACTTCATACAGACTCACCTTGCTAATCACTTGGGGTTAACAGTACAGGCCTCCCCTCATATCAAGGTCATCGTCGGCAAGGGTAATACATTGGGATGCACCGGTGTCTGCCGCCAAACAAACCTCGTTCTGGATCAGGCCAATTTTCAGGTTGATTTGTTTGTCTTGCCTATTTTTGGGGCCAATGTGGTGCTGGGCATCCATTGGTAAGCGAAACTTGGGCCCATTATGTTTGACTACAAAAGCCTTTAGATGGAATTTCTTTATAAAGGTAACCCCATTCGTTTATTTGGTTTGACTCAGCCTTCATTTTCTTTAGTACTGTCCAGCCCACTTAAGAGAATCGCTCAGTCCCAAGATGAAGCCCAATATTTCCATCTCAGTATTTGTTTCCATCCGGATCCCCCAAAAGCCACTAAACCCATCCACACTGATGCCCCATCGGATTTTGCCACCAAACTCCAAAGCCTTTTTTAGACCTTTTCCCATATATTTTCACATCCGTCCGACTTACCACTAGCCAGGGAGTTTGACCACCACATCAACCTCCTACCCCATACTACCCCAGTAAACGTAAGGCCCTATAGATACCCTCACTTTCATAAAACAGAGATGGAAAAGAAAAATTGGTGGGGGATATGCTAGCGACTGGATTATTCGACCCAGTTGCAGCCCTTACTCGGCACCGGCTCTCTTAGTTAAAAAAAAGATGGAACATGGCGACTGTGTCCAGATTATGGAGCCCTCAATGCGGTAACCATCAAAGATCGTTTTCCCATACCCACGGCCGATGAGCTTCTTGATGAGCTTAGTGGAGCCATCATCTTCTCCAAAATCGACCCCTTGGCTGGCTACCATCAAATTCGCCTTCACCCAGCTGATATTGAGAAAACGGCTTTCCGTACTCATGAGGGCCACTACAAATTCTTTGTAATGCCCTTTGGCCTATCCAACGCTCCCTCCACCTTTCAGGCATTAATGAACTCTGTATTCAAATCTGTGCTTCCCCGGTTTGTCATCGTCTTCTTTGACGATATCCTTGTCTACAGCGATTCGTGGGAGAACCATATTCAACATCTCGACTCTGTATTCTCCTTGTTATCCCAGCACTCCCTTGTGGCCAAGATCACCAAGTGTGAATTTGGTTGTACTCAGATTGCTTATTTGGGCCATGTCATTAAGGCAAGTGGCATTTCAGCTGAACAGGATAAATTGCCTGCCATACAACATTGACCTCTTCCTACAACGGTCAAGCAGCTACGTGGTTTCCTGGGTCTTACCAGCTACTATAGACGCTTCATTAAGATGCCTTTTTATTACAGCACCTTTGATTCAATTGTTCCGGAAACAGGCCTTCCTTTGGTCCTCTGCTGCTACTTCAGCATTTGAAGCTTTAAAGACAGCTATGCTATCACCTCCAGTACTGGCCCTCCCTGACTTTTCATTACCATTTGTTATCCAAACTGATGCTTCTGGTACCGGAATTGGGGTTGTTCTTCTCCAACAAGAGCACCCATTGGCTTTTTTCAGCAAGCAGATGTCTCCCCGCATGCAGGCTTCTTCCACATATGCGCGTGAGATGTTCGCGATTACTGAGGCTGTTCGCAAATGGAGATAATACCTTCTGGGCAGGCCCTTTACTATTCAAACCGACCACCAGAGCCTGCGCTCCATGCTCCACCAGACCATCCAAACTCCGGAGCAACAAAAATGGCTCACAAAATTAATGGGCTTTGATTTCGATATTGTTTACAAACCTGGGCGTGAGAACGCTCCAGCAGATGCGTTGTCGCGTCAACATGCAACATTTTTCTCCTCACTAACAGCTTCTTCCCAACCGTTATTGGCTAGGAGTTTTTTGTGAACAATCCATCTGCCTCTCAACTTCTCACTGCGGTAAGAACAGAACCCGCTAAATTTCCTCATCATTTAGTTTGTGATGGTATCCTATTTTTTAAAGGAAAGGCAGTTATTCCAGTCAAATCGGGTTTCCAACCATTAATCTTGGCTGAACTACACAACTCGCCGGTGGGTGGTCATTTGGGAGTCCAACGCACCATGGCTCACATTGCGGCTATTTTTTTATTGGCAGAAACTACACTCTACAGTTCAGGAATATGTATCTCATTGCACTGTGTGTCAGGCTGCCAAACCATTCAACTCCAAGCCCCAAGGCCTCCTTCAACCGTTACCAGTTCCGGGTAAAATATCAAATTTTGTGGCAATGGACTTCATTACTCACTTACCAGCAGTCAAGGGGAAGACTGTAATCATGGCGGTAATCGATCGACTGTCCAAGCACGCTCATTTTGTTGCATTGCCTACTCAGTTTACTTATGTAATTGTAGCTGAGAATTTTGTGCGTGAAGTGGCCAAGCTCCATGGATTTCCTTCAGTTATAGTCTCTGATTGTGATCCTGTTTTTATGAGTCATTTTTGGCGTGAACTATTTCGGTTGCAGGGCACAACATTGGCTACCAATAGCACATACCACCCGCAGACCGATGGCCAATCGAAGGTACTTAATTGATGCTTGGAAGACTATTTGCGTTGCTTTGTAGCTGACCAACCTAAACAGTGGCTAAATTTCTTGCCACGGGCTGAGTGGCACTATAACACATCCTGGCACTCTGCTATACAAATGACTCCATTTGAAGCTGTTTTTGGGTGACATCCACCTTCGTTACTGGATTACTCAGCTGGATCAGTAGCGGTAGCTTCTGTCGATGAATTACTTACCAACCGCACCACTCTCTTATCCAAACTAAAGGCTAATCTACTTCGAGCTCAGAATCGCATGCGCAATCAGGCCAATGCTAAACGTTCAGATGTTACCTTTCAGGTTGGCGATACTGTTTGGTTGAAACTCCAGCCTTACCAGTAATCTTCCTTGGCCCACCGCCAATCAGAGAAACTCTCAAAGGATTCCTATGGCCCTTTTCCTATCTCTGAACACATTGGCCCTATGGCGTATCATCTTCAACTTCCCCCTATAACAAAGATAAACAGTGTCTTCCACGCTTCGTTGTTGAAGAAGGCTATTCAAGGGACGGAGATATCTATTAACCCATTACCTTGTGAGTTTTTGGAAGGTCATCCCCTCGTGTCACCAGAACAGATCCTTGGTCATCGTAGAGTTCTACAACAGGGCCATTTTGTCCGGCAAGTGTTAGTCAAATGGCAACACCAACCCGATTCCGATGCCACATGGGAGTCTGTTCTGGACTTTGCGCTTGATTACCCTCGGTTCAACCTTGAGGACAAGGTGCCTTCTCCAGGGGGGCGAATGTTGCTGGTCAAAGGCCTATTAGAACAACAAGAGAACCTGCCAAGTTAAAGGATGCCATTAGATATTAAATTATTAATCTATAAGCCAATAGTTAGATCCTAGGAATATTCTATTTGGGAAAAACGTTAACTGTAAACTGATACGTTAACCTTTCTTTGTTGGTGCTATTTATTGAGAAGACTGGAATGGAAAGGACAGAAAAGAATTTGCCAATTAATTTTGTTGTCTTAGTTATCTTTACTTTTGCTATGTCTTTGCTGTTTATCTCCTTCGTTTATAGTCTCTGAAACCCTATCCCCCATCAAATTTCGTAAGTTGTCCTGAGGAGGCTGAAAAAGTGTGCAATAAAAAGTTCCAAGTTGAGAAGTACTGGACCGCAATGCTCGTCCTGATGAAAGAAAGCCCGATGGAGTGCACGTTTTGCACCAGGCTTGGCAAAAAGGTAGCTCATAACATGAAGGAAAAGACCTTGGATTTGTGCATCTATTCGCAGATTGGGATCATCTGTCTAAGCAAGCTAGTCCAGCTGCTATCACTAATGCTGATGATCAGAATCTTGCTCGGGTATCAAAGGTTGTTACGACTGATCAAATTCAACAGTGCGACACTTTCTGAAATAGGAACAGAGCAAACACAAAAGAAAGAGGCGAAAATCAAGTCCAGGGCTCATCCGATGCAAGAACTTAGCCGATTGTAATGTACATGGAAGGCGAGGAAGAAAAAGTTGACATGATGATGCAGAGGAACTTTGATGCTACCGAACATTGGTTCAGAATGGGAAGAATGCAGCAGCCGAAACATGTAATATTTTGCAAGACAAACTAGCCTTGACCACGGTGTTAGAACCATCAGTTATGGTTCTAAAACCGTTGGTTCATGGTTCCAAGATAGGTGGAACCATAACCGAACCATGTTAGAGGCGGTTTCAAACGGTTATGGTTTGAGACGGTTCCAATTCCTGTTACGACTTTGGTTATGGTTTCAACTTCGTTTATAATTAAGGCTTTTATTCGATTCTAATTATGATTTTGATATTTCTTGTGTTTTATTAGCTTTATTTCTTCTTTGAAAGTATTCTTTTGTCATGGATGACAATTATTTTAACTTGACAAAGACTAAGGAATGATTAGTTTAATTTTTTTTAATTACTCTTGCTAAGTTTTGGAGAAGTCACATAGTAAAAAATTAACTAGAAATAATTTATAGTTTTTTAATAATTAAGTATAATTATTTTTTACGGTTCTAATCGGAACTGAACCGCCGGTTACGGTTCTGATTCTTCAAGGCGGTTCGGTTCCAATTCTTATAAATGAAGAACCAGAACCGAACCTAAGAATTATGGTAACGGTTTTAATTTTTGAACTATAAATTACGGTTATGGTTTAGAACCGAAACTAACGGTTTGGTTCCGGTTTGGTTCCTGTTCGAACCAGAACCTTGGTCAGGTCTAGGACAAACTGCGTTCTTCTTCTTCATCATTATCATCAAATGAGTACTTTGAGGGAGTGAACCAGTTTGACCGCAGCCAGGTTGAGTCCTTGGACACCGATGAACCTCCACATTGCTGGGATCTTCCGGTGGTGACATTAACAAGCATCGCGCTGACGCTTCCTAAAGTCGATCTTGAGCAGAAACAGCAATTGATACAGAGTGTAACTGAGGCCCTCATTTACATCAGGATCATAGAAGACAGATTAGATACCAAAAGGGAACTCATAAACATCAGGAACGCGGCAGCGGTGATATGGATAGGAGTTGATCTTTACTTCAAATGGCTCGATGTGGACCTCCTCCACGCCTTCCAGTACCACAAAATCACACCTTCAAAGGAAATACTTGACCAGCTTTCGGATTCAGCAAAGCACAGGTTTAAGGTGTTTCGGAATAATGATCCGTTGTATTGTTTGAGACAAAACGCTTCAGATTGGCCTATCCAGATTTTGACTGCCAATTCTATGTACAGAATTTGTTAGACCCTTTTGATAAAGATTAGCAGCAGCACCGATTGCAACAATCACAACCACGATTGGGAAAGCGGGAAATTAGTGTTCGAAAAACTGTCTGAAATGATAGCTGAAATCATTGGCACTTGTTTTACAAACTTGCAATATGTCATCTTCGAACAATGCCATCAAAGCTCCATTGAAAACAGAGAGGACAGAACCCGGAATTCGATTACCCTTCTGGGCAAAACAGAGAAGATCCTAGAGATTCTCGCGAAAAATCGAGCCGAGTTACGAATTACCGGAGCAATCGCTGCACATTGATGAGTGGAGATCATTGAACCAACGCAAACGTCATCTAGAATCGGCTATTTCGTTAACTATAGATATTGACGCCCCAAACTCTGCTGGTAGCCGCTCCCCTGACTCTGACTTGTTTCTTGAGATTGATTGATGAAGTGATGACAAATGTAACCATTCACATTGCAATTTGAATTCATGGAAAAAGATTTCGATTCTTGTTCTTTTGAAATGTTTTTCTTTTCGGATTCATGTCTACAATCATCATTCATCCTTCTCTGTAAAACAGAACAAAACTTGAATACAATTTGGCGTATACACGCTTTGTTTTATTTTTAGTCAAAGCATACTTCCAAACAGAACTAATTACTTTTCAGTTTTCACGTATGGTTATTTATTTATTCGTTCACATAAATTGGTTAGCATATCCAAACTTATGTTCGAATCAATTCTTTGATTGGGGAAGAAAAATGTGGTTAATCAAATTTGTATGTCACTCTCCGAGATAAGATAAATAAATCAGTAAGGCTCCTGGCCAGATTTCTGTAGGTTACCGACGGCTTCCGGTGGACTAATCCTCCTTCTATACTTCAGTTATAGTTCAATAAATATTGTACTTGCACTGAAGAAATCACGTACTGGTTAGCATATCATTTTCGATGACTTATGTGTTTATTTTGGTAAATAAAATGTATAATTGGGTAAAGAGTTTTAAAATTCGAGCTGCCTGAGAGGAAAAAAGGAAAATAAACCAAAAAGTTATAGTTCTTGTAACTGGTTTTTTTTTTTTCTTTAAAATGGTACCTATGTATTAGTAAGAAATAGAAATACATCTATTATTACACTGGGATAAGGTAAATTATGTAATTCGTGTATTAGTAAAAAGTGGAAGTACATATATTATTACATAGGATTTTGGGATAAGGTAAGTTGTGTAATTCACGAATATCGTCACGACTTACCTTAACTCAAATACAAGAACGAAAAGTAGAGATTAATTGGTTGTTAGTATTGAGTAATTATTACATTCGTCCTAAAATCATTATTTTTTATTTATGGTAGAAAGTATCTATTATCAGTTGCAATTTTTACATTTTATATAACAAATAAAACAATTATTTCAAGATGAGAAAATGTTAATAATTCGTCACACTTCCTCATTGCGCAATGACTAGCACTCTCTCATTCAAAAAACTATAACTACGAAAGAACGCGCCAAACGCACCTCCCAAAAAACCGCAGACGTTCCCCCAAATCTTTAACCTTCCTCACCCAAATTGGCCCCCGTCCTCCAATTTTTCAGACCATAATTTGGCAATTGCAGGCTAGAAACCACCAGTGAACCGAAAAGAGACCACATGCAAGCCATTTCTCAATCTTTATAGCCTGGTTGACTTGGATTAAAGTGGAACTATGAAAAATGGCCTTTTGAAGCTGTTCAAGCATTCGTTCATCGGAATGGCGGATCTGGTGTCCTGTAGAAGTCAATCTAGCCAATTGAAAAATCAGATTGAAGCATCTCCGGGATCTTTTGGCTCTAATCATCAAAGCCCGTTTTTTGACTATCAAAAATCAAATGCTCGAGGCCACCATTCTTCGAATAAATGTCCTGAGATTCAGATTCCTTCAAAAGGAAGAGTTAATGCTTATATTAAGTCTAGGATTTGTCTTCTTCGAAATTAGCAGCATAAGACTTTACAAATTAAAGCCTTAGGGAGCGCTATCCCAAAAGCTGTGGCTACAGGGGAGCTGATAAAGGCTCGATTGAGTGAAGTGAATCAGACAGTGACTACCTTGATGACAAATGGTGTATCTACAATTATAATAACATTGGCAATAATTTCTCCTCAGTCCTCGCAGAATCAGAACAGTTGTGTACAACAAAAGAGTCCTGCATATGTTGCTGCTGCTATGACTTCAAAAGAACAAATGATATGGAGAAAGGTGAATGTCCCAGTTCCAAAAAGTTCTTGTTTTGTGGCTGATAATACTTGTACCAAACTATCTAGGAAGATGGCGCAACAACGAACAACGGAGATGGAGGCATGCCTTATGACTGCCAAAGAAATGCCAAGGGAGCTCCATGAAGGAGAGCCATTTGTGAGGGCATCTACAACTACTTATGATGTTGGATGCTCCATGGAACCTCAGACCCCTCAGCTGATGGGGACCATTGAAGGCCAACAACCCAGACCACCAGTATGTAGTAAATTATGGCTGCAAACTCAGGTACTTAATAGGAGGACCAAGCTCATATTTAAGAAAAGAGGTTTGGCAAGAACTGGAACCAAATCTAAGTCTGGATCACAAGGAAGCGTGGTTGGGAGCCAGGAACTCAAAACTCCACCCACCAATGGGCTGAAGAAATCAGGAATCTAGCAAAACATATGCAAGGTAGTGCCAGTCACCGCCAGCCACTCTTCCAAGGAGAATAATGCAGCTGCGCACCACAAAACGAAGGCTGAGGAAAATGGTGATGTGCAGCACATACTTGCAAAAAAAAGATGCTTAGACATGTTTGGACACCACAGCTTTTGAACACAGCTTTCTTTGCTTGGGGATTCCACGACTCATCGACAAGGTTGTTTGGTCAACAAATGAAGGTTTCAAAGGGCAATGAATTCAGGTTGGTAGATCCAACCAGCCAGGTACATTCTCTAAACTCCAACTTGAATGTGTATTCCATTGAGAGTGAGATAGAATCTATAAAAGGTTTTGCGGTGGTTGTACGAGATTAATCGCCTCTGTTTCTAGAAATATCTTATTCTGGAACTGTAAAGGAAATAATAATACCTCTACGAAGCATTGTATTAGTAGATTATGTCAGCACTATAAATCTTTTATTTTGTTTTGACTAAACCCCACAATCCGTCCGTAACAAATGCCCAAAAGAACATTTTGGTCCGTAACAAAACAATTTAGTGATTTTGGTCCGTAACAAATCCATTTCAACTTTTTTGGTCCAAAACTAACAGAACTGTTTTTGTTGACAGTTTGTACAAAGTCAACAGGGGTATGTTAGGAAATTCATATTGTACACTGTTTTTTAATTTTTTAAAAAGCAGTAAAAGTAATGAGGAAAGGGTTGACTCTAACCCTAAGATTTGGGGGAATTTAGCCAAGAGGCAACTCCAATGGTCAGAGAAAGCAGAAAGTGGTGTGGGGAAGAAGGCGCGGGACTCTTTCGATATTGAAAAGCACAGATTACCGTCTGGGAAGCTAACCTTCATTCCGCCCAAAGTCCAGGAAGGGGTCAAGGTTGGGAAAATTAGGGCAGAGGCGGTGGAAGCTGAGACTGAGTACTGGGCTTCATCAATAGTTTGCTTTGTCTTGGGTTCTAACCCTCCGTTCCGGGTTATGAACAATTTCCTTCGCAAAAGATGGGGTCGATTAGGCATCGATAAGGTAATTTTACTACCCAGGTCTGTTTGTTGTCCGTTTTGAGTCTATGCATGCGCGTGAAGAAAGTGCTACGTATTAACATTCATCAATTTGGAGTTAAACCCCTTATTGTTAAACCCTGGAATGTTGTATTGGGGATAAACTATTGAGAAGTAGATAAAGTTCTAGTGTGGATACAATTACACTTATTAGAGTTGAAGTATTGGAATTTAGAATCCTTGAGTAGCATTGCAAGTACACTGGGTAATCCTTTGATGGCGGATGAGTTCACAGTAGCTAAAACCAAAGTCCATTATGCCCGAATCCTGGTAGAGATGGAGCTATCTGAAGCAGTAGTGGATAAGATAGTTTATGAAGATGAGCTGGGTAATGTTAGGATTCAGAAAGTCACATACGAGTGGTGCCCTGTGAAATGTACCAAGTGCTTAGGTTATGGACAGTCGACTGATAGCTGTAAGAAGGGAGTTAATGTTCCAGTGAAAAAACCTAGTGTCACACTCTGCCTGGAAAAGGGTTGAGAAAGGAAAGAATGTTGTTATGAATGCTGGTGATAAGGAGATGGTAGCAACTACTAAGGGTGGTTCTGTTGAGATACTTCTGCGAGGACAATCGCGTAAAGAGCCACATCAAGTTCATCATTTCTGTACTACTAGCTCCATAGATGTTCTTCCTAATAAGCAACAGGACCAGAATGAGACAAGCCATATAATCCGAGATACTAAGGGGGTGATTGCTGGTCAGTCCCCAAGTGGGATAGCCAACAAAACCACTAGTTTGATTGGAGATATGTGCTTTGCTGGTGCAAAAGGAGGGGAAGATGAAAGTAGGCTGTTTGATCCTGGAGATTGTTCCAATGTGTAGCATCCTTACGTGGAATATAAGGGGTTTAAACTCACCCCTGAAACAAAAAGAGTTACACCTAATGGTAAGCAAGGAAAAGTATAATATAGTTGCTGTATTAGAAACTAAGATAGTACAATCAAGAGGGGAGTTATATGTTCAACAGAAATGGCAGGACTGGAGTTGGTTGAATAACTATCATAGTCAGGAAAGGGGAAGAATCTTTTTGTTTTGGGATGATAGTATCATTATGAATGAACTGAGGCAATTAGACCAGTTTCTTCATTGCTTATGCACTGTTAAGAAGGACATGTCTCAGGTTTATTACACTGCTATCTATGCAGCTAATGAGCAAGGTGAAAGGGAACACTTATGGTCTGATCTGGTTGATTTAGCCAATGGTGTACAAGTCCCCTGGCTGATCATGGGGGATTTTAATAACATACTTAAGCCAGAGGAGAAGTCAGGAGGTAGGGTGGTTACTTTGCAGGATTATGAAGCTTTTCAGTGTTGTTTGGAAGATTGTGGGGTTCAAGACCTAAAACAGGTTGGGAAACTGTTTACGTGGTGTAATCAAAGGATGGGGAACGAAAGAATATATTCAAAGTTCGACAGAGCTTTAGTTAACGGGGAATGGGTGGATCAACTTTCGGATTCTCTGGTTTCAGTGAGAATGGAGGGTTTATCTGACCATACGCCTTTGGTTGTCCAAGTCTGTGCAGATGCGGGTTGCAGTAGGAAACTTTTTAAATTTTTTAATTCGTGGAGTCAATCTCCGCAGTTCCTTGAACTGGTTAACAGAAGCTGGGAGGATGATGTACGTGGAACCAAGATGTTTCAGCCAAGTATGAAGCTGAAAAGGTTGAAACAGTCCCTGAGATCCCTAAATAGAACCCAGTTTAACAACATTGTTGAGAAAGCGGATAAAGATAGAGTGCTATTGCATGAATTGCAAGAGGCGTTGAGTCTTGACCAGGGCAATCTTGAATTACAGGGCAAAGTGAGGGATGTTGTTCAGTGTTATGCACTCTCTAGTAAAGCTGCAATAAGCTTCTTAAAACAGAAAGCAAAGGATAGATGGGTTGCAGAGGGGGATGAAAATACTCGGTACTTTCAGTCTTTGCTGAAAGTAAGGACGATGAAAAACAGGATCTGGATGGTGATGGATGATACTGGGAGGGAGATAACTGATTCGGAGCGTATCGAAAGGCATTTCCTTGACTACTACAAGCACTTGTTAGGGAAAGACTCAGTAAGACAAGTTGACATGGGAATCTTCAAGAATGGATTACATTGAGTGTGGACCAGCAAATCAGATTGATCAGACCTGTTGGAAGATAAGAGGTGAAGGTTGCATTATGGAGTATGGAGAAGCCTAAAAGTCTAGGCCCCAATGGTTATGGCGTAGGGTTTTTCAAGGCAGCATGGATTGTTGTTGGAGATGTTGTTACAAATGCTGTTTTGGAGTTTTTCTCTTCAGGCCAGTTGCTGAAACAGGTTAATTCAACCCTTCTTGTCTTGATTCCTAAGTGTGATGTTCCTGTGAATGCTGCTGATTTTCTCCCAATTGCCTGTTATAATGTTATATATAAGTGTATATCGAAAATCATGTGTAATAGGATGAGGGATATACTGCCTTTACTTGTTGGGGAAAATCAGTCTGCTTTTGTTAAGGATAGGCCTATAATGCATAATATTTTATTAAAGAAATTAAAACATGTTGCAGGAATGCGGAGCACCGGATGTGTGTGTGTGGCATATGCATAACAATTTCAAGAAACACTTTGGAAGCCCTATTCTCAAGGACCAATTATGGGCAGCAGTTAGGGCAACAACCCCACAGAGGCATGTGAAGTTGATGGAAGGTTTGAAGGCCCTTAAGCCTAAAGCTTATAAATGGTTGGGTTTGCATACCAAAAAGCCGAACTGGACCAGGTCACATTTTAAATTTCATGCGAAGTGTGACATCTTGGTTAACAATATCTCTGAGTGCTTGAACAGGGTGCTGCTCTATGCAAGACAGAAGCCACTGTACTATATGTTGGAGTGCATCAAGTTGTATCTAATGGAAAGACTGCATAAAAAGAGGAAATATATTGCAACAATGAATGGCAGGTTTGGCCCCAAAATTAGGAAAAAGCTTGTGAAAGCGAAAGCTTTATCATCTGAAAGCTTGGCTAGGGAAGCTGGAGATTCGAGGTTTCAGGTTAACACAATCCATCAAGAACATTGCAAGACAGAACTTGCAGTTGCAGAAAATGGATGTTGACTGGGATACCTTGTTCTCATGCCATAGCCTCAATTGCGAAGACAGGAGAGAATGTTGATAATTTTGTGCATAAATTTTACTCAAACGAGTACTATGAAAATGGATACAAGTATATTATATACCCTACAGAAGGTCCAGAAATGTGGGAAAAAACTGTCGAAAAGGATTTGGTACCACCTTGTGAGATCAGACTTTCTGGCAGGCGAAAGGGTGCTAGAAAGAAGACTGCTGAGGTGTTAAGGGAAACTAGGATTAAGAAAAAAGATGGAATGCAAAGGATGTCCAGGGCTGGCATGATGGATCCATATGAATGTGGACTTTGTAAACAAACTGGTCATAACATGAGGCAGTGTCCAAATAGAGCAAGTACCTCTAAGCAGCCAACTAATGAAAGAGGGGTCACTGCGAAGGTACAAAACTCTCAGGTTAATCATAGTGACAAAGATATCGGCCAACCTGCGAAGACGGTATCATTTCCATATTCAATGATTTTTTCATTACTTCTATTTAAAGTGGGTCGTGTATAGGTCTATATTTTAGTCACTGATGTTTTTCCTTAATTTTGGCATTAGGCAAAAAGAACTGTAAAGTGTAGAATGTGTGGTAGGGCTGGCAATTCGTGTCGGGGCCGGGTTGGCGTGTCAGGTCGGACCCGAACCCGAATAATATACAGCCAACCCGGACCCGACCTGTATAAATAAACAGGTCGAGTTTTACAACCTTAACATGACCTGAAAATATTTAGATCACCCATGAACCGACACGCCAAGCCGGAATTTAAAAAAATAAAATAAAAAAATTCCAAAAAAAACTATAAATCTGAAACTTTCATATCACAGTATCACACAAATCTGGCAATCTAAAATTC